ATATATATATATATTAATCAGATGAAAAGAGATGCTTCGGTTCATTAAGTCGCATACATTCCTATTAAACGCGATTGGACACCGTCGGTACAGTGTTTTTGGCGCTGGCTGTGAAAGTTTGAATCCTAAAAGTTTTATAAATTTTTGGCGTTTCTAATTTTGTGAGCAAAAATATGCACGTCTGCTACAGATCGCCAATAAAAAGGTTGCCACAAATATTACACACTCTGGATTATTTATCGCCACAGTGCCAAAATGAAGGGTGCTCAGCCGCATTGATCATTCAGGTAGAAATCTTATCTTGTTTTTCTTATTTGACATTTCTGAATTATGCCAAAATTTGCTCCCAAAGCTATTTTTTACAATTAATTTTACAAGCCAGAATTGTTTATTTCAAATTAGTCCGGCCGCAGTTTGAACAAATTGCAGGACACGAAATTTTTGGTTTGCAAACATCAACTATCGCATGCGAGTGACTATTTTCGTGCGCTATTTTTGGCCAATAAATCGGTACCAATATCCGGCGCCTATCAGAATTCGTACAATGAGTTCGCCATCGTCGTGTCATCGTTTTCCCATCCCCCACCAGCCACTCAGTTTAAATGGTTCCTGGAAAGCGCCATACAGGCACCTATTCTAAGCGATATCACTGGTTTGCTTTCGAATTCCTCATTTCATTCGGATACACAAAGATCGAAAGCTGCTTGCTTTCAGCACTGCCCGTCGCTGCAAGGCAGTGACTTTGTGTTTTTTTTCTTGAAATTAATAGGCCAGCACAAACCACTTTATCACTAACCTTGTGCTGATCTATTGATTTTTGGTAGGCCTCTCTGGTCTCTTTGAGTCATCATCTTTTTCTATTTGATGCTAATTGGAAGAGTGTCATTGATCCAAGGGGAAGACTGGCTTTATTTGTGCTGATGATTAGCGAGACCGTTCCCAGAATGGGAGGTAGAGGTCCCTGTAATTGATGTTTTACTTGTCTTCTGGTAAATCATTTCGAGTTTCTTTTTTTGGTGAACAAACTAATTCTGAAAAGTCTTCTCTGCTTTCTTTGGCCCCCTATCAGCGGCGCCACACTGCCAGACCAAACCTCTGTGGATATTTTTTCTCACTTTTTTGTTTTTAAGCTGTGATAATTCAGTATTTGCAGATGATACACTGGAGACCTGTATGAGACTGTCGAAGCGGTTCCGCGCGAAAGGTGTCGAAATGAGGTGCGCTCGGTATATTCAGGATAATGTATGCTGCAGTCACTTCTTCAACCTATTAGTGTTAAAATAAAATAAAAACCTGGAAAACGGATCCGGCACATTAGTATTTTGGAGCATTTATATTTTAATATGTCATAATTAATATCTCTATATCATTTTTACGCGTTTTTTGCAGCTATGCAATGCAGAAAACGCGTACTAACGAGGGCTTGTCTGTTTGTCCGTGTATGCGTCTGTCACGCTTGTTCATCTCAAGACCTACAAAAGCTACAGGGCTGAAACTTTGGGAACTTAATCTACACGCACGTATGGCCCTCAACTCCAAAATGGCCGCCATTACCCGCGTGGTACTCATGTAAAGCCCCGCCAAAGTTTTCTGCGGGTAAGCTGCTAACTCGGGAACCAGAAGCGCTTGAGGGATGAAATTTTAAGGGGATGTTCCCCGTCCAATTGTGTATTAATGAGCTCAAACCCAGCCCCCTGGTAAGCGTCATACCCGCGTACGAGCCCGCCAAAGTTTTTTTCGGGTAAGTTCATAACTCGGGTATCTGAGAAGCTAGGATGCTGAAATCCTGGGTAATGTTTCCAGCCCAAGTAGGTATTAATGAGCCCAAACCCAGCCCCGGGCAAGCGTGGTACCCACATAAGAGCTCGCTAAATTTTTTTTCGGGTGAGTTCATAACTCGGGAATGTGAGAAGTTAGAATGCTGAAATCTTTGGCGGATGTTCCCCGTCCAAGTGGATGTTAATGAGTTCAAACCCTTTTCTTCTGGGTAAGTTGCTAACTCGGGAACTTGAGAAGCTAGAAGACTGGAATTTTGAAGAGATGTTTCCTGACAGTCCTGGCGGCCAACTTTTAGCTAGAAGCATCTGGTGGAAAAACCAGTGCCGTAAGTAACAAAAATCTGCGGGGAGCTAAGCAAAAAACGCATCTTCGCACGGGCAGCCCGTGCGTTGGCCGGTTATTCTCTCTGCGGAAAGTAGAATGCAAGGAAACAAGAAGCATGTTGGAAGGACTAATGTCGCTGTTCCCTAACTTGGCTTTCTGCTGTAAAATCTGACAGAAACATTTTTGCTTCCAAGTACACTGTGGAAAAAACTCTTTCTTTTAAAATCCATTTTTAATCGAAAAGTAATGTTACAAGCCAGCTTCTTGGTGTTTCCATTTTTTTTTTTTCAACTCGTCTTTCAAGCAGCTCACCAAGGACAGTACTGCCCAATGAAGGACCCGAAATTCAGTCATAAAAGCAAATGAAAAGTCTTAAAAATTGCTCAGTATAGCTTTGGCCAAAAGCTATATAATATTTGCGTACAGTAGTGTGGGACCGTGCGATAATTTGAAATGTGGTTCTAGGAAGCGGAAGGTATTGAGTGAAACGGACATCTGGGAATCGGTTCTGGCTTACGCAAAGCGCACCAGATGAGACCGGAAAAATTACGCCTAGTCTGCTTGCTTTGTCACGACTGCACGCCGCATGGACGAGTTATTGGCATTTGTATGAAACAATCAATGCAAGAAATTTCAAAAGAAATTTAGTAGAATGAGCAGTACTGTTTGCAAGCTGTTAGAGCGCAGTAAATATATCAACTCCCACTCTTTCAAGCACGCGATAACATTGAAGCTTGCACTAATTTTTGTGACGCGCAAATCGGGCATTTTTAAGGTGAGCAAAAAAGCGCCAATGGTGGCATTGTGTTGGCTGAACTGGGTACTGAAACACAAATTCGATCAAGCAACCCACGATGCCTGCCTGCCCTGTGTTGCATCCGCATCGCTGCGGTGTCTGGAGGAGCACCGCAATATGGTCACCGAGAAGTTATTAGCCGATTTACTGGCTGCAAAACTCCGGACACTGTACGATCAGGTGAATAAACTTGAGCTACTCACTTATTTGTTCAGCTGGTCATTCTTGCTGCCTTTCTTATCAAGCACAGTTAAGCAAGTGCTACTCTGCGCGAAGCTCTAGATTTTACTGGAATATGTTAAACTGGATAATATACAAAAACGCCAGACTTAGGAGAGTGGTAGTAGCAAAGCTAGGTAGGAGGACGAGGGAGGAAAACGCCTCACTTCTCTAGGAAATATAAGATAAATTTTTGGGTAATAAATTCTACTAATTTTAAGCAATAATTATTGTTTGAAAAAT